TTTTTATATGCTTTTCCACTGGTTATCAAGATGAAATTATGCTTAATTTCCTTGTTCTTCTTACATGTACTTGATATTTTCTTTAACTAGATTTGTCAGTAATCTTAAAATATCACATGAAAGGGAAAGATGAAGAATGTTTTTCTGTAAAGCTACAGCACAAATTATTTACCACTTAATGATATTCAACATAATTACATATTATTATTTGAACACTATATTTATATTATATGCTTGTGTGCAGAGTGTGCAAAGCATGTTAATTACATAATATAAATAGACTCTTTGAGAGCAATTAAATTGTCTGTTTTCATGTGTAATAGCAGAATGGGGAAGTCTTACACATAAAGGATTGCTTGTGAGGTAAGTTGAACCAAGATTTTTTTACACAGGAATGCATTTCAAGGGAGCCTGAGGGTGTTCCACAGGTACAGAGAACCAATTACAAATCAATAGTAGCTGACATTGGGTCACACTGGATGTACTTTGAATATTTAGCTGTGGGTGTACTTTAGATTTTGGAGTGTGTGTTTAATAAGAGTAAGATGAGCCTTTTAATCCATTAGTTCATATTAGAAAATTCTTACAGTTTATTACTCCTAGTCTGATCTTCTTTCAGCATTTTATCAAATGTTTCACACAGTTGCAGCTTAAAATGACATTGAAATGGAACTTGGAACAACTTTGGTTTTCAAAAGCACTAAACTAAAAAGTGCTATTGAGATATTCACTTGCATATAATTGCATCAAATTGTGATAAAATGAGGAGAAAAATGGTTCAAAATGCTTGGGCACGATGATGGAATTACTTTCCTAATTTAGAAGTTTTTAAATAATATATTATCAATAAGGAACAGAAAGTAGTATTGCAGAGAATCTTGTTTTCTAAAATGGTTCATATGAGTAATATCAATTAAGACTACTTCTGAAATTGAAGTTTTATAAGCTATTATAAATATAAGTAATTGAAGCTGTAAATAGTGTCAATAACCATACCTTGTCCTAAGAGTTGACCAAGGCTTAGCTTGTATCATTCAAGTAGAATTCAGAATTACAGATTCTAAGTCAATTGTGTGAGCCATCAATTTGGCATTATATAACTGGAAACATGCAAAGCATTTTAATTTCTTCAAGAATTATATTGTGAGCAATTTGTTTAGTGAGAGAAGACCTACAAAAAACATATGCAATTATTATTACCCAGAATCCAATAAAAAATAGTTTTACAAATTATTACCATATGTGTGCAGGAGTTGCTTTGTACTGTGCAGTTATTTTAGATATCGGAATAATTTGTTTTATACTTTTGAGTTCCTCACTATTAAAGTGTCCCCTTAGATTTGCTATTACTTTGACTATTGTGTGATACATAGTAAAACAAATAGTTTACAATAAAAGAAATTTAACAAGTAATTGGAATTCCAGATTGTGTGCAAAATGAAGTAATGGTATTTGCAGGGATATTGTGGGAGTGCAGTAGCTGTGGGGAAACTACTATAAAACTGCTAAAAATGCTTCCCCTCCTCCTGCTGCCTTTAACGACTGTTATAAAAGACTGAGAAAATAAAGCAGTCTTGAATGGCTGACAAACATTCCAATGGAGAAATTAATATATTATAAAAAATATGTTATAACTGGTTACCCATATTTTTCTTATTGTTTCTATTGATATACAAGTTCGTGTATGGCTTTTAACAAGGAAAGATTACCGGAAAAGGCTTTTTTATATTTCTGTGTTTCATATTGAACAATCTTCTTGAGACCCTGCAGGAGAGTAACTGAAGCAAAGGAAAAGTTTGATTTGTAACACTGTTTTCTTAAACCAATGCTTTTGTCTCTGAGATAGTGCAGACCTCAAGGGTGTCATGACTAATGGGAAAGTTGGTTGAAATGAGTTTATTTTAAGGTGGAGTTTCTGAATGTGCATTCTGTAATGCTGACATAAACTCAGAAGTTAAGGAAAGCATATTTTATATTGGTAAATCACCTCATTGATTTAAGTTGATCTCATATGATAGACTGAGTAGCTGCAGATGACTGCCAGCTTAAAGGTACATAGGAAGGCCTGTATTTACAAACCACTTTTGAATGTATTAGACCATAGTAGTATATCATCAAAGATTTATTGCTAACAGTGTAGCTATATTTCTTCATGCCCTTATGATTTACACTCAGATGTCCTCATAGATCTTTCCTTATTAGATTAACAGATGCAAAACCTCAAGAAAGAAATTTTAAGATGGTCCAAAGCCATTGCTGGAGAATTTTAGAAATTGTCTGGTTTTCAGATGTCAGTTTTCTTTCTTCAGCTGTGGAACAACCTCATGATGCAGTTTCTCTTGTTGTCCTTTTTTTTTTTTTCAAAAAAAGAAAAAGAAAAAGTTATTATTTGCTCTGACTTAATAGCAAAGTGTGGGGCAGTGTCTTTGGTAGCATGGTAGCATCTTCCTCAACAATACCCAATTTTTAAAGACTTTGCTGCAACCATGACCAATCTGGGAAATCTCCTTGCAAACATTTGGCAGGCATTAACAAAGTCCTATACATTAGGTGTAATTTGCATACTTTACTAAGACTGTGTTGTGGTTCAAGTATTCACAATAGTCTGTCCCCTAGCATTGTTCATATACAGAACTCAGGGCTAGCCCAACGTATTTGTTTCATGTGCCATGCAGAATTCTGTAAGTGTCGCACAGATGTGTGTTGTACAGAGCTTTTTGGACATAAGAAAACTAGGAAGGATGAGTGTAATTTCAACAACAGACCCAGTCCTGAGCAAGGAAGCCAGCTATAGTCGACAACAAATATTCAAGTAGCCAGAGAAACTAGGACTCAAGTTTAGTTCCAGTTCCTCTTGAGAGTTTACAATTTGTCAGAAAGCCCTTTTGGGATGCAAGCCCCAAGCTTAATGGTTGCAAATAGGCCATGGCGTTTGCAGAATGGCTGCTAACCCAAGTACTGGATATGGAAGTTGAAAATCAGTGTTAAGTCTTCTACTTTCTTTTCTTAAAGTATTTGTTAGGGGAGTCTTGGCATCTCAGCCTTGTGTGCTTACAAAAACAGCTTCCTATTACAGTTTTGGAGGGAATGCTAATACACGTTAAAAGTTGCCGTGGTAGCTGGAAGCTTTTCTGTGGCCATAAGTAGTCCCAAAAGAAAAGATCTTTTCTGTTTAAGATGAGCTTATGTAGTAGATAAGGGAAACAGTGTGTTTGAGCCCTTTTAGGTGCCTTCTGTTTGAGAAGGCAGTTCAGATTTGCATGTTTCACCTTTAGCAAAGAGCTAACTGGGGTTACTTGTTGTCCAAAAAAAGCTCACAAGCAGTTTCCATACTTCCATAATTCAACAAGGTGATTTTTTTTTCTTTCACTAAGTAAAAATTACTTTCTGTAGAAAGAGAAAGCTCAAGTTTATCTACAGCAACTACTTATTTGTATAGTGCCCAGTGGGGTCTTCATTCCTGTATGCAGTTATAATGTAACTGTACAGAGTTCAGATGATCTCCGTTGCAGCGTATTTTTTCCAGGTTATTTGGCTGTAGTTGTGAAACCACCACTGGGATTGTGGCCTTAACATACTATAAATAGGCATTTTGGACAGTCCAATTGGACTACCAGTTGTCAAAATGAATCTGTGTCACCTGTTTGCTTTTGTAATAACTATTAACATGCAAATTTTGGAATGAGGTTTCCTATCTGGGTGTTCTGGAGCCATGCTACAAGACAGAGTAGGAAACCAGAGAATTCTATTTCTTTTATATAGCTACCTGGCTTTTGTTCTACATATACTTGATCTAGAGGAGGCACTTGAAAGGTATCTTACAAGTGTCAGTTAAAAGAATTTTTGTTTATTCTGTATAAATTATAGCTTGAACGCTTATATAAATGCAGTATTTTTGCAGGAGTTTAATTAGTGGGATAGCGAATTAGGGTTTCTTATCCAAATCACTTTTTATATCTAAGAATTAAATTTGATCTATCTTTGGCTCAAATACAACTGCCATATAAAACAAAGGCAGTTTCTGCTGTAAGATGTTCTAAGTATGGAATAAGAGCAAATTACTGGCATAGATGTGTTATTTTGTGATTATGAAAATTATTACAGGCTTTTAATTTAATTACAAATAAGCATTTTAAAAAATAAATTGAAAGTTAGCTTTCTCCTAACTTTTGCTGTTAACATCTGAGCTAGTTTTTCTTTCCTGTCAGTTTGTCTTCTGTTTAGGAATAACTGTCAATGTAAGGAAAACGTTGGCAGTACTCCCTATTGTCTCATAGGTTGTTAAATACTTTCCTAAATCTTGCATTTGCACTGTACAGATCAGATAAACAAAATGAGTGAGATTTTTGTAGGAGCAATGAAGTACTGTTCCCTTGAGAGAAAAGAGACTATAGTGTAGCTAATAAAACACTCATTTGTATTGATTCAGAGGAGTGTAAGGGGAATGTTCTGGATCCATGTGGTTTCCTTTCTGAAAGATACTGCAGAGAACAGCCAGCCAGCGTTTGAAGCCAGCACAGTAGCTGCAGTAGCAGCCAAAGAATTGTTTAAGGGAGCTATTGATACCATCAAAGCCCTACTGCTGTCTTCACTGTGAGCATCTTCCATCCGTTCCTGATTTCTTGTAACACATCCTTTTCCTTCCCTTCCTTTACTGGGTGTTCCACTCAGCAAATTCCTTTTCCCACATAGGTGACAATATCTATTCAGCTTGTTTGTTCTGATTCTTTCTGCTACCTCTCCTGATTACAAAGATTCTGAGGTGTTTTAGCTGTCTAACACAAATTTGTTCTTAGGTGTGATTGCAGCAAGTGGGAGTAATGCTAATGAAAACATCTGAATTGAAGAATAAATATTGTTATTTTCTTTTGGTCAAGGGATATTGTTAGAAACATGAAGTTCTATTGTATTTGTAGATGGCACAGTAGAAGCAGCATATTTTCGATGTTACTTCTGTGATTCTTCCCAATTTCTTAGTGAGCCTTTTTTTTTGTGTGCAGAGACTTGAAGGGTGTTATAGTCACTCTGACTGATGATGGGCATCTTCAGTGTTCATACCTTGGAACTGATCCTTCAATCTTCCAGGCTCCTAAGGTTGATGCTAGGGAAATAAACTATGAAGAAATGAATGCTGAAATGAAAGAGCTTCAAAAAATCATCAGGGAGGCCACAAAAACACAAGGTATACTTTTTCCTTTTCTGTATTTTTACGTGCTTTTATCCACCTAACTTTCCTTTTAGCACTTTAAAATATTCAGACTTTAACCATAATTACATTTCTGTAGGAAATTTAATATTTAATAAAGTTGAGCATTTAATAGAAAAGCGTGCACACAAAATCCTAGACTGTAAGGCTCTTGAATGCAGGGTTTTTCTTTGTATTTTCGTAATGCCTGTTGGAACTTTTGAGAAGTTTACTTCAGGTTGCAGGTAATTCTCAGTAGTGCAAGGGTTCAGAGAAAAAACTGACTACCCAAAGGCAAGAAAACTTGAAGAATTTCAACAGCCTGATATAATTAGGGTTCAGAGAGAGCAAAAGTATTGCCAGATTCTGTTTTATTATTACAAATGGCTTTTTAAGTCAAGAAATTAACAAAGAATTACTTCTGTTAAAGCAACTTTTCTGTTTCTATATTTTCTTTCAAAAGCGTATTTGAAGAACATAGTGAGAGATGTCAATACCCAAATAACTGATCATAATAAATTTTGGAATTGACACACATTGCTAATAACTTGCATTGATTTTATTGAAGTAAGGACACATAATTTCTACAGAGCTTCGAAGCTTGTGTTTTCATAAACATGAAACATGGGTTTTTAAACTGTGTATGTGAGACTTGCACAGTGAATTGGAAGCATGTGATTTTACAGGAAACTATGGAAAAATCTTAGACAAATAGAACAAATTTTCCTGGTGATAGTGAACATCTTAAAATGCATGAAAGAAATAGTCATTGCTTTCTATGTGAAAAAGAGTGAAAAAACTCACAGTTGAAATTCCTAGAAAATAAGAAATTATTTATCTGCAGTCACAAGTTTGATTCTATGACTCTAAGATTCCTATGTTTTGTAATTCCATATAACTTCATCCATTATTGTGATAGACTAATATCCAGTTTTTAATTTTCCAAATCCAGAAATGTTTTATATAAGCATATAGATGTGCATAAATTCCACTGATTTTTACCACAGCTCTTCTTTATAAGTATCAGACAATTTTTTCTGGCTATCATAACCAAAGGAAAGAAAAGCATGAAGGAAGGAACAAATCCATTTGAAGTGAATCAACTTTCACTTGTTAGTTTTAACGTATTATGTGGAAGAGCGAGAGAGAGAAAGGAACTATAACTATCCTTTTTAAATATTGTAATAACTGTCACAGTATGATTGACAAGTTTACTTTGAATATTGCTGATCTTTTCACCATTCTCTCTTCCTCTTAATTTTCTTCCTCAGTATGTCTAATCTGATCTAAGTGCTGTTTTCAGATGAGTTTTAATAAATGCTCTTTCCATTGTGGAGAGATGCTCTAATGATGTGTTTGGCTTTAACTGGATGTAAAACTTGTGAGAGAACCTTCTTTTACAACAAAACATTTTACTTATGATGAATGCCAGTCAGTTTTGGATGTTTTGGGCTTTTCACATTTTGACTTTTTTCTGAAAACTTTAGCTTGAACCTTGATTGCCATTAAGTTACTCCTGAACATGACCTTTAAAATGAGCTGTTAACTTTTTTGTCTTTTGAATTCATGCTTGTGCAGTAAGAGCTTGTGTTGTTTTGAAAATATCTAACCTTATATGGAAATAATTTTTCTTTGTTTCATTTTGACTTTCAAACGTGGAAGGTATTTAGAATTAGGTCATCATATTAAAAAAACCCTTAGAGTACTTATTTCCATAAATGTCTTGTATTTCTGTCCAGTGCTGACCATTAAACTGTTGAACTTAAGCTGTTTTATACATTTTGAAGTATAAGGATTTACATTATAAACTGATGAAATATTTTAAAATCTTAACTGTTTTACTAACTTAAATCTAATATTACTTGCATCAGTCTGGATGACATAAGTGATTAAACATACGTGTTTTGGCTCAGTTTAGTAGTAGCAAAAAGCTGGTACTTATATGTAAACTTTGTTTGTGATCTCAGTCCTACTTATAATAGAAAAATGTCAGTATGACAGAAGTTGCATCATAGTTTGCTTGAAGAAGCAACCTGAAGAGAAATAATTTAGAAGGGATAGAAAAAGAATGGATTGGGCTGATCTATGTGTAGTTGGGAGAACCAGTTCTTTTTAATTGTGGCTGTATGAAACAGGCCTAAACTTCTTTTGTAGGTGGTATTGGAGAAACGTGTTTTGCCTTTGCTTTTCTTCCTTGTGGCAAAGAGAGGCATTTTTCTCTGAGCACAAGGAAATGAAAACTTATTTTCTATCTTCATCAAAATCTTTTCTCTAGACATTCTTGTTAGAACGAGATGCGTGCTGTCTACTAGTTCTGGGTCATTTTCAGGACCTTCTGTGTAACAAAATTCTTTCAGCTTTCTGAATCTGCTCATACTCTGAATTATTCAATTAGTACATTAATTTCCCCTTTGCATCAAGTTTTTACTGGTTGTTACTTTAGAAACTATACATCTGCTGTTTGGGTTTTTCATTTTCCAATACATTTAGTCTTAAAAAATAAAAGTTCTTTTCAGAAAAATGCAAATACCCTAGAGCTGGGCTTCTGGACTCTTAAGTAAGAGGAGGTTATATAATTCCTCATGGTATTTAAACTTTTAATTTGTACAACTTTTTTTTACATATATGAATCTGCGTAATTATTTATATCATGGATATAAATAATTTCATACCATTCCTTTCTTTGTATGTTGACAGTACTGGAAATCATCTGGTAACATATTGTAACCAAGCCACATATAATGTTCTATACATAAAACTTTCATATACTTCTTATGCAGAGGAATTAGGTAAGATTAGACCATTAGACACAGAATTTTTCTTTGTCTAGCATATTCATTATCAAATTATTTAGAGGACAGTGCCATGAGGTGTATGGTGTGTTGTTTTGGAGGTAGTTCTTTATTACTGGTGTATTACCATATGCATGTGAAGACAAAAGTTTAAAAATATCTTATGGCCTCTGAAGATAATGGATATTAGGTGTAAAACCTTGTTACAGAATGCATCCTTTTTTGTACATAAATTAGAAATCCAAAATGACAGCCAGGTTTGGGTTTTTAGAAATCTAATAAAGTTGGGAAGCTTCTTTGGAAATATCAAAAATCATACGCATTGCTTTTTTTTCTTTTCAGATTTGTATTCAAATTTGTGAATTTGAAACTTGATGCTGTTGAAATTGTATTATTTTTAGAAATGTAACTGCATATTTGTTAAAGAAGAGCTGCTTTGCTTTTTCTTTTTCTTTCAGATATTTTGCCTGAATCTGAAAAACAGAGAGATCTAACTGTCACAGCAGAAGTTTCACCTGATTTGGATGCAGAATCTGTATGTACCTGTATGAAAAGGGAATTACTCTAAAAATATAAGTTTCACATGTGAATAAATGAGGATTGATCATGGATAGTGATTACTATATATTTTTATTTGTGGGACTGAGCTGCATAGCCCTCAGTTTTTCCTCAATTAGAAGACGCTTTTATTAAAGACTTTAACTAGAATTTATTAAAATTATTTATTATCTTCTGTCTTGGGACCATTAGATTCTTGGCTAAGCAAATGTAAGTGAATGAGAACTTAGGATATGGAATAACTTTGGGGTGGGAAGTTGTACTGGTGAGCAGTTTAACAGTAGAAGTGTCATCCTTAGATCTTTGAAAGATAAGATACTCAAACCACTCAGTTGCATTGTAAGAAATAACCTTTCTCTGGCAAGCCATTTTTCAATATTCTCTGGTGTTGCAACCTAATTAATTTATTCATATTGTATACAGAAGTAGCTTACAAAAAATTATTCAGATTAAGATTCGGGAGATCTTATGCTGTCTCTTAAAACTTCAAACTTCAACATTTCAGAACATATTTGTTGCACTAGAACATCTGTAATGAGCCATTTCTGGCCACTAATTTGTGCAAAACTGATTTTCCTGGGCTGCTTGCTGTTTAAAAAGTACACAAGGATATTATTCTCTGATAAAGGGACTTCTTTGTAATGTGTGCTAGTCTCCTTGGGCTAGCTGCAATAATCTGCTTACAACACTTAGAACTCTTAGGTACATAGAATGTTCTAAGGCTGCTGTACTCATTTACTCAACCTTCCAGATGCAATTGGTCTGTGTCATATATAAGTAACTCATAATATAAATCAAACCACAGACTTGAATCTGTATTTCCTAAGGCTGCCCATATATCTTAGTTTGCTGTGTGGTTGGCTTTTCTGTGCGTTTTTTCAGTCGGCATCTAGAAAGGAAAAATCTGATAAGATACTTCATGGGGAAGGATCAATAAACAAATGTAGGAACAATTTTAGGGCTTCTACAGTGACCTTGGAAATCACAGGCTTTCAGATGCTACTTCTGCACTTGTAAAAAGATTGAAATTGCAGTGTGTGTGGTAAGAGCAAAGAGGATATAGATCTATTAAAACTGATTAGATAAGCAAGTGGAGGACCAGTCTGGCTATTTAACACCACCTCCTGTGTATGGCCTCTGATCCAGGAAGTCCAGATAATTTCTGAGACTTGAATATACTAAGAGTCCATCTCTTTACACCTCTGCTATTGCTTGAGGATCAACCACTGGTCACCAGAGATAGTGAGCATGGCAAGCCAATATGAACGTAGCTGTCTTTTTTTTTAACTGGAAAAGGTACATGATATACAAATGAAAGTCCTACTTCTAGAACCCAGAGAGCCTACCAGCTTCCTGACTTTTTAGGAACTTTGCAGATGTGGACCTTATACTGTTTTTAATTTACTCTTTTATAATGAGAAGTTATAAGGTCAAATCAGTAATTTGGTATTATAGCGATATGTTTCTTTATAATAGTTTACACAGGAACATTTTCATTAACTGTAGCGACTGACCTGTTTCAAAATGAAATATAAGCATAAAATAAAATTAAAATATACTGCAAGGTCAAGATGAATTTTGAAGTAGATGGAATTGCCTGTTGAAATAGAAATTAGCAGGAGTATTAAAGTGCCTGCTATAATTTTCTTTTAAAGTTTAAGGTATATTTCAACTATAAGATAGTGTGTGCGGATTTTATAGGATGGACTATGGTGTGTATGTAATATATTGGCAGATTGGAAGTCACCTTTCCCTACTGAATAGCAGAAGGTATTTCCAGAATTTGAATAAATATACAGTGGAAAGTAGTGTGCCAAACAAAACAGTTTCAAATATTCATATATACATCAGAGTGTATTAGTTTCTTATGTACACCACATTCATGACCTTTTGCTATCCTTTTTGCAGGCAATTTCAAACAGAGACTTTACATTTTCAGAAGGAACTCAAAAATGTATTCTGTGTATGTTAATCTGTCATAGGAATGACAAGTCCTTTAATCTTAATTCTGTGTTTACCAAGTTGATGGTAGGAAAGTAATATTGCATTCATTGTGTTCACTCATTCTTGTGGAACATTGAATTTACTCTGTTTTCATCTTTTTCTTCACAGCAAGCCATTGAGAGTGAAGTAAAAGCAGAGGCAGTACCATCAGTCACAGTAAAGGTACTGTGCCTAACTCAAACAGTAGCGTTCAAATAGTGGTGGCAAATTGTAAAAAAATGTCTCTTTCTGTGTATTTCACTAAGAACACGAAAATGTGTAAAATTCAAAATGCAATAAATGCTCAGTGTTTTTCCTCCTTAGTATGACAAGGTGTCATTACAGGAAGCCTTCTGCTAAAGTCAAAAAGTGATGCAGTTTTATTTTTGATAAGTAAGAGGAGACAAGAACATTATTACCATGCAATGAAGTAGTTTTTGAAGTCATGAGAATAATTTTGCCTACACCTTTCGAAGGCAATAAATGTTTCATTACTGAAATGAGGGGTTTATCCTCTTCAGTTGCCTTTTTAGTCATCAATTAAAAAAAATAGACTTTCTTTTGTAAAAAGACTTTCGTAGCTTTTGCTCTTTAAAAAAAAATAATAGGAAAATCTAATTAGTAGATTGATGTTATTGCACTCCTCCATGAGAGTTGGTACCTGTAACTGATTCTAAAGAAAGTGTGAGAGTGTGTGTGTATGCAAATGTAGTTTTTCCTCAGTATTGCCTAAAAAGGATCATGATTTTTATTTCAGAGTTTAAGAGGATCTTTTAAGAATATCAAGGAAGCCTCATTTTTGAGAACCTTTCAAGTTCTCCTCTTGGTCTTGAGTGAAAAGTTCAGAGGGTAACTGGACTGTTTGAACCAGATTCCCTTAGACTAGTGTGATTTAGTTGTACTTGGTCCAACAAATTTCTCTGCATTTTTAAATGCTAAAACAATACGGGATAAAGTCATAATTCTGATAAAGTCTTGATAGTTTTGCTCAAAGAAATTCAGAGGAATGGCATTGGACTTTGGACCAGGCTGTTTGAGACTATAAGGCTATCTTAAAATATGTAATATAAATTTAAATTACCTCAAGACAGGTGTGAATTTATCAGCTTTTAGTGTACATTGGTGCCAATATATTTTATAAGTGAGTTATTACAGTGGAAATCATTGTGTTTATAATTGCCAAATTAAATTCTTGGGGAGCGGTTACGATTTCAGTACTGGGAACACAGGTAATTCCCATTGCCTTCCTTTATCCACTCATTATTGCTATTGTAAGAGCCAAGGTAAACCCTGTTTAAAATGACCATGGATGTGTTTATATATTTAATAAGCTTTTTAATGAGAAGACATTATAATTAATTCCGCTTTCTCTTTTCTTGTTTATGTATCTCATACCTTTTAGTGAAACAACAATAGTAAATGAAGGAGTTACCATGCATTCAGTTTTTTCTAGAATCTTTTTTTCCTGCCATAAGTTCCTTTAACTGATCATATGTCTCCATTTCTTTGAGAAATGCACCACAGTAGTATTTGCCAGAAACTTTAAATGTCACTGTCCTGATTACTGATTCTGAAGAGTGCAGTCTCATGTCTGCATGTTTTTAACTGACTTAATTGGCATAATACCTTCATTGATTCCATCGACATTATTCATATTATTGAGATTCTGGGTTCATAAAATGGGTAAAGTTTACCTGATGTATGTACAGAGGTAGATGTTATTCTTCCTTGCTAGCATTATAGCGGTGGATAATTTGGGAGCCTGTTTGCAACTCAAATGTACCGTGAAACATAAATCAATGATGATGTTAATTATGTTAAAGTAGGCAAAGTTCCTAACGCTTTAGTAATTTTCTAACTAATAATATTTTTCTAGACTGATTTAACCTGGATGTAACGAGCTCCTTCGTAGACCAGCAATACAAAACAGATGATATTAGATATATGGTCCATGTCTATGCAGACCATATTCAGATCTCAGTCACCACTATACTTCCATTTTAGATATGAGTTAAGTACATTCTTTTGATACCCATTAATTTTGTAGCAGAGTAACTGCATACAATAGAAGCAGCGAGAGCCACTCCAAATTTATGTTTAGGTCAGCTCTCATAATCTGGAGTTTTTATTGTTCTGAGTATCCTGTATTTTGATTGTCTTATTTTTTTTGCAGTAAAAAAGTCATGTAAGAATCTGAAGTTATTCAGAAGACTATGCATTGCTCTTTGCAGTTAAAGAAAGGAATTTATTTGGTTAGCTTAGATTTTATTATTTTTGGTTTTTTTTTGCTTTAGTCACCTAAAAGATTCAACATTTTATTTTTATTTACATTAGAATGAATGCACATGACCACTTGCAAAATATTGACATTTTAATTACCACTCAAGTATTGGTTTGTCTTGGGTTAAAATTACAAAAAAATGAGAAATTCCCTCAGGTTTTTTTAACCTTACAAGTTACTACATTTCTTTTTTGGTCGTAAGTAAATAAAAACTGTGAAAGGTTTGAAGTTGAAATTTTAAGTTCTGAAACATTGTTGCTGAATTGGTCTTTGCAAATTTTTTTATATCTTTTTGTTGGTTATGTCTTTTTTCCTGCTGTACAGAGATAGATTTGTTGCTTCCCTTAAATACTTCTTTGTGTCACTTGATTTAGATAACAGTACAGAGCAGAGTGGCTGCGCAGAAACCGAGCCTGGCAGTCTGTGTGCAAGCTCCGTTAGCAGTGACCTGTGACCAGTTCGTCTTTGATGATTTAGGTAAATTATTATAGTACCATTACAGTATCTGAGGATATTGGAAAGGTGTAGTCCAGCTTCCATCAAGTGCATTGTTGCACTCCACGTCTTCTTGATACTGCTTAGTGGAGGAAGATGGAGTAGAAAGGAATGGAGTTGCTTCGTCGATTGTGATATGATGGGTGGCGGGTGAGGAGAGGTGGAGTGGCAGCTTTATGATGGAGGCAAAAAAAAGAATCAGTTATTCTGTAGTACTTCTGCTGGGATATTTTTTTTTGCTGATAATTCTGTCTATGTAGAAATGGCAGTATTGAGCTACAGGAAGGGACAGAAAGTTTGTGTGCTGGTGGACAGTCTAGCATATGTTCTCAGCTTAGCATCAACTGTTTAAGGATTGTAGCCTTTTTCTAACTTTGTTGATGAGACTGCAGGTGGAATTGCCTTGAAGACTATGTGGAGCTCAAGATCAGACAAGTGTGCCTGCTGTTTCAGTTGTGACTACAGACCTTTTCTGCTCTGAAATGTGCAGTAATGGTCCCTATTGAAACAGGGCTTTATTGACTGCTATTCTCATCTGAAAGGACAGTTCTTATGTTTTCTCAACATGTGGCAGGAGTGATGACTGATGGCTTTGTAAAATATTAAAACCATACCATAAAGCTGCATTTGTTTTTATATTCTCCATATTCAGTGTGCTGAGTTGTTTTATTGGTTATGCTTCAAGATAGCTGGAGGCCCAAGTTTGCCTTTTACAAATAAAAGATTTTTTTAAAAAAGCACGTACCGTGATTTGATGAAGGTGAACTAATGGAAACAACTGCCATAGTTTAGCAGAATAATTCCCAAACTGCTAGGAAATATGTTGTGTTCATTTGGATGCTCCTATTACTTGATTTAATTTTGTGTTGTTTTTAGAACCAGATTCATCTGAAACTGTGGTCCTGTCTGTCTTTTTGAAGGGGAATTGTATTCCATCAGAACTAGAAGGAAATTGCATGGTTTCATATAATATACCAACAGGTAAGCAAGCCACTGGAGATTTCAAATTAATTTACATTTTTTTGAGGCCTTTTTCCTCACATATTTCTTATAAATTTTCTTTTGAAATATATTGAAGACAGTAGTAATTAAAGAAATAATGCTTATCTAGTCTTCAGTTTTAGTTAATATTTTATGTTGCATCAAGGTATGTAATTGGCCTTACAGAGGTAAAGTCATAAGCTTATTGCTTGTGAAACAGCTGTGCCAGCTTTTCCATCTTGTCCTTTCAATTTGCTTCTGTTCTGCTCTTTAAGGGACCACCTCTTGGAGTGAGAAGTTGGTTACACCTTTATGACTATTCAACCTTCTGATCTGCCGACAAATGTGATGAAAACTACCTCCCCACAGAGGAGGAGATTTGAATAAGCATTAGGAGTGATTATTCATCACTTCCTTTTTAACAGATGAACATATTCATTCTAAACAAATAAACTAACCCAAAGGATAGAAACCAAGTTGTTATTTTGTAATGCCCTAATGACCCTAGTGATAGAATATGTAACTTTTTCTTGATATCCATAACTGATTAGCTTAGTTTTCTACACACAGCTTTGTGAATATGTCAGGCTACTGAGAAACTATATTTAGGAGGGCTTCCATGTTAAGTTAAATGCTGCATAAACCAGTTAAAGCTGTCAATTCTTCAATTCTCACTGCTTGGCTTTGCTCCTGCACCTCCTCCCCTGTTGTTCTTACACAATCAACAGTTGTTTCTCAGCCAGATTTGCTGATTTAGTTCACTGTGCAAAGACAGACCTATGCCAGCAAAAACGGAGTAGATTGACATGAAAGACTTATAAGTTAATGTAGGACTTCTGTGAAGGGTGGTGGTCTTGAGTACCTTATCCAATATAGACACTTTTATGTAAGCATTTCCTTCACATCACTTCACACTTGAAACATTGTGTTTATGGTGATAGTCTACGCTGTGCTATGACTGAAATGTTTATTTCTAGACAAAACTGGAACTCGTATTTTTAAAGAACTTGGTCTTACCCTCTTTAGACATAGCTTGCAGATATGTGCAGAGGGTGGGAGTGGAAAGGATGCTCCTTCCTTCTTCTTGAGAGCCTGCATGAACAGCTTGTACAACTTTAGTCCCTCTGTAATGTGATTCTGACTTCATATTCCTTGTGAATGAGATGCTGTACATTTGTAACTATCTAAATTAGTGTTGTGGATTAGACAGGTTTTGTGGGATCACTGTACAGGTGACTTATCAGTATCTTGGATCCTCTGATTTCGAAAGCTTGCTTTTTGTTTTGCTGGTCTTGTTTCTGTGATTTTGCTTTGGAAGACCAGCAAATGAATGTTTTATTTCTTTCAGGTAATCCTAGTTAAACGTACGCTTATATTTTAGTTGTTAGGTTGGATTTGGCAATTCTTTTGGTTAGGGGAGTAAAGAAATCTTACATCTCAAGTATGTTTCATGGTTTATATGTGATTAAAAAAAAGAACAAGCAGACATGACATCTAACAGAATTAGACAACTGAAGAAGAAATTTTAAAAACTTACCTTTGATGGTTGAATTTGGAAGACTTTTAATTAAAGGAACATAATTAAGATCTGCTAAATTTTTGGATATTTATTTACACTATTAAGCTATGATAATTCAATTACATACAAATACTAGTGTTGCTTGGCAGACAAATCCTTAAGCATAATATACTAGTAAATAAAAATTAAGTGCCTTTGTGACTTCATTTTATCTGAAAAGAACCTTTTTCCTCTTTTGTTTTTTTAAGATATTTGTATTTGTGACCAAGTCAGTCTTCAGTCTATCTCTGGGATTCATCCAGCTGAAGTTTAATGAGTCAATCAGGTGGATGGGGTTGCACTATTGATGAATGTGGTCTCATGTTTGGTTTTTGGCTAGTATCATATCTTTATGTATTGTCTACTTAACAAATGTGTCTTAAGTTCTTAAAAACCTGTTACTGCATTTTCTTTTTTTTTCTTATTTGAGTAATATCTCATGTATTCTTTTTTTTTTCTTTTGTCCCATTGCTGGTTATACGCTAGAGCTCAATCCTGAAGGTAAGTGAATGAAAAAATGCAAAGTTTGAATAGTTTCATGAGTGACAGTATGTGCTGAATAAAGCAGAATTGGAAGGGAGCTGTTATTTTAGCTATTATTTCTACAAGTTCTTATTATCCTTGGTTTGATGCTATGTAAGTGTGAATATAGAAAATAGAAAGTAGTAAAGACATTTCTTAGTGAAGTATATTGCACTTCCTTGTGTGTAACAGGAATTTTACTAAGTATTAAGTGCCTTCTGCATTGAGATTGGAAATTGAGAACAATTGTGTGATTTTTCTTTACCATATTTTTAGCTATTTTTCTCAAGTTTTAGCAAGAACAAAGGCAGCTAAATTATAGCTTTGTTTGGTGCAACTGGAACAACTATTAAGGATTTGTGGCTAGTGCTATGCTGTTTGGACTGAGTAGCTCTGAGAATGATGTCACAACATCTCTTTGTTTCAGTTCCCATTGGAAACATCTTATTCAAGGCTAAAAGGCTGCTTTCTATCTGAGACTACCAGCAGTACAAAAACTCTGCTGTGATCATGGTAGCTATGATTCTTGGAAAGGCTACAATTAAAAGACAAAACAAGACTGGAAAGTTAGCTTATGTATACATAGAGTAAAAAGGGAGAAGAGTAGTTTTGCAGTGCAGTAGTAGATGTGTTGAAAAGATGTAGTGCTTGTACAAAATATTTTATGAACATTAATATTATATAGTAAATGCAAATTCCTTCGTGTTTTGGGAAGGTAAAGTAGTTGCTTGTCAGGTTTAGAGATCAACTGAAAGGGTATTTTCAGTTTTGCAGTTTTCCTATACAGAATTTGTAGATGGATGTGTATTTGAGTCTTATTTTTCAATACTTATGCTCTTTTGAGCATAGTAAGTGAAGTAAAAAGTAAACAGCTGTGTTAATGGTACCCTGGTTTCTGGATATTTCAGTGACCCCTACAGGAAATAGATGCTAGAACCATCTCAGTAAGATACTACTCTTGAAAAGAATACTTATTTTCTTGTGGCATATTTCTGCTATACAAAGTATTTTAAAAATTAATTATCAATAAAATATAATAAAAGAAATGTATATCATTTCAAAGAATAACATCCTAAAAATGAAAAATTGGAGTTTTTGTTAACAACTATCTACTCAAGATGAAAACCTGCTGCTGAAGAGAATATTGCTGTGATTCTACACAGCAAACTTTGTAGAATCATCTGGGACAAAATTTAGGGTTGTGCATACTGGAACAAGTACCAATTCTGAATATTTAACATGGAGATCTGAGTTCTAATGCTTTTTTTTTAATGCTTTTTATAATGTACATTAATGTTATGTTTCAAATTTAATTAAATGAATGAATGAATAACTTGGAAGTGAAATAGTAACTACAAGGCATTAACTGTTTTATTACTTTTATCAGATAAGTGCATAGTATGCCTTTACATACTAGTACTTTATGAGATGTTAGACAGTTTCTATTGTGTTTCAGGTTAGAAGAGAATCTGAATTTTTTCCCCACTTTTTTTTTCTTTATTACAGAGCTGAAATTATGTATCATGCAAAGCATCCCAGCTGTAGATGAAGTGAGATGTATTGCTAGACATAACATCAATGGGCTGAAAAACTTCTGACTTCCACACATTACTACTTCTTTGTAGAGTTTTCACTGTAGTGATAGATTTTACTGGAGCTTTTGGTTTTTCTTATATATAGTTGTTTTGGATTAATCAACTAGAAATCTCCCCAATCACCTTCCAAAGCTAAATAATATTTGATTTAGTTTTGATTTGACTGTTGTCTGAAATATTGAAAAGTTATGTTTATGATGAGGCAGACTCACAGCAGACTATGTAGGAAAAAGCTGATTTGAAAAAAAGAAGGAAAATACCTTGTTTTAAATATGAAAATGTTTAAAGTCTTTCTGGCTACTTTCATCACTTAATTTTTTCCTGTTGATAAGTCTCCACATGTAAGTTCAATAGTAAGATGTTTGTGTTATGTTGTCATCAAGAGCAGATTTTACTTTTCCCATCAGATGGTGAAGATCCAGTTGAATGAATCATTCTGAAAGGTCATGAGTATTTTTAAATATTCCTTCAGGAATTTTCCATGGAACTTGGGGTTATCCTAAATTTGAGGACCTGTCTTTGGTTTGAATGAGCTTTGTGCTCATTTTACTATGATTTTGTATTTTACAAGCTGCTGTGGAATAGTCACTTGGAGGCATTATGAGCCAACCAAAAGACCTAATGAATTGACAACCAGAAAGATGAATCTGAGCCTTCTAGTAACATTTTTTTTCCCTCAGATGAGTCTTAGAAGTAATTTTTTCATTGCAAGAGCTCTGCGAAGAAGCAAACAAAACTGTTATCAAAAAAGGTTACTTGGATGGCTATTAAACGTTTGAGCTCAAGTTTTATACTAACCTGCAAAGCTTACATGACTGATAACCTCTATGTAGCTATCAGTTTCATGACTTTTCTGACAGTTACTTACTTTATTGTCTCTAAAAATCTAATATTGTTAAACTAGGTTTTCATGTAGCTGCTTCATAAAAAAACAAATGGTCTCAAAACCCCCATAATCTGCCTGCTCAAAAGAGCAAGTACTCCATATTTCGTAGCAACTAGCACTTTTGCCTTTCACATAGAACGTATCAGACAATTGCTGACATACCAGCAATATCTGAGAAAATTTTTGACACATTCAAATGTCTTTTCTAGATGTTAGTGTTAAAACTTCCTCTTTTCTCTTGCACCGTTCTGAATAAGTTGCATATGACAGTAGATCCCGATACTCAAGGCAGTAGCCAGTTTGTTCTACAGTTCTGTTCTATTATGTTGCAATGAGTTGAAAGATATAACTTAATATACTTTTGGGTAATAATCTCTATTAGATACATTCTTTCCTAAGCCATAAACCTCTGAGAGATGAAGGTTGCATAGATGTTTTTTAAGAATATTAAAAAAAAAAGTAAATCTGTTCTTAAAAAGCATTTAGTTTTGGATATTCCTGATAAAAATGTTCATGCTTCAATTCTGTGTTTGAAGGACCAGGAATAATCACACAACTGTTGTGTATGTTAAAGTGGAATTGTTTGTCTAGAGTGTTAAATAAAATCTAATCTTTATTGCATTTTAAGTGGTATAAATACAAGTATGCAGTAAATTTCATCAGTAACTCTTGCTTTCCCATTTATAGAAAAATATTCTCTTGAAAAGGTAATTAAAAGTATTCAAATTTAAAGGTGCTTCAGGAGGAAACATTAACAAAAATTAAGAATTTGATATAGTTTTTGGTTTAACATATTCCTTAATCATCTTAAAGGTATCTTGTTGTACCTCTTTGAGGACAGTGGTATGAAGTATCTTGTATTCAGAATATGGGCATGAGAAATGAATCTGTGTTGTCTGATTTCAGGAATACCGAGAGTTGCGCAGTGTAACTTCAGTCTGCCTTTGCGGTTAGTTTGCTTTCCATCTCAGCCTTCAAAAGCAGCAAACCACAAGCTAACTATTGATACCAACAAACCTCCTGTCACTTTTCTCACCATTTTTCCAGGTAGGTTTTTAAATATGTCTGTAATCGGAAATGTGTTAGAGGCTTCCATCAGGAATTGTTTGTCTGTGTGAAGTAATGAAATAATTAAAAAAACTCATGTTGGCATATTTTAAAAGTATTTTTTTGAAAGAAATGATGGCATAATGTTTTAATAATAATAATTCACTTGGGGTAATATATCTATCTGTGGTTAAACTGCAGATTTCATGATATAGATCTAATTTTTAGAAAGTCATTTTACATAAAATTGCAGAAGTGGTGTTGTAATAGGGAAAACATGGGCATTCATTTGAAAAAAAAAAAAGGTGGGGTAAAGCAGAAGTGGTCAATGTTGTATGAAAGAAGTATAGTTGCTTTAGAGGAAGACCTGTGGAATTTTTGATATATCGGTCTGAAGCTGATCTTATTTAATAATTCCATTACCCTTCTTGGACCAAGAAGAAGATTTGTACTTAGCGGTATTTTCTGATGTGCAAACCTGAGCTTTGTTTTGTACTCAGAATTACATTAAAACAGTTTGAAGGAGAAATTAGGTGCCATTTGGGACTGGAAAAAGAAGAATGAAATTGAGTACTGTAATGTTATGAAAATAATTTCTGCTATAATTACGTGTTCATAATTTGGAAGAGAGAGAAGGTAGAAGTTACCACAGGAATACTCTGTGGTATAATATGATGTAATCATAAGCAAACAAATAAGAACTGAGGATGTATTAGACAAAATGATTCCATGCAGGAAACTAATATTATGTTACTAGGCCCTGGCACACTTAGTGCTGGTTGCTGATATTAAATAAAAATTACTTCAAACTCAGAAGTGTAGAAAAAAGGCTATGAATGTTATCTAGGGATTTGAAGAGGAAAGTTAAAGAAAGTGACTCATTTATCTTAATAAAATGCAGGCAAAAAAAGAGAACATTGTTAACTTCAGTAAATATTTTGTGGCTGCATCACGGATCTAGATGATCATATTAGCACAAAAAGAAATGAATAAACAGAATTTATAAAGTGATTGAGAGTAAGTTCAGTCTGGCAGTGATTAAGTTCCTGAACTTCAGAGGACTAAGGTTCTGCAGCAGTTTTCTGAGAGCTGTGTGGGCCAACAACTTTAATATGATACTTTTAAGGTGGGGCTGCTTTTCTCTTTTTGAAAAACTTATATCGTACATTTGTCTGAGAGCAGTAGAGAAGGCTTGGTTGATTTTTTTTGTACCATGATTCTGTTCACTTTAAGGGTAAATATAACTTTTCTCTCAAATGGGTGTGTTGTGTAATACTTGAAACAGAGAACCTTTTTTCTAAATGTCTACATTTTGAGGTTTTCATAATGGACTTCCATTATGGCTAAGCAATAATGCTTTCAGAATAGCACATTGTATTTTATTTTTAACCTAGGGATGCATTGTGGAAAATACAACACAAACCATTGGACTAAGAAGGCATTAAAATATTCTGATTTCTGTTCATTCCATTTACAGTGTTTAAAAAAAAGTATGCTGGTTATGACGTGATCTGTGAATCAACTTTGAATTATTGGTGTATGCAGTAAAAGTTGTATCTCTTCTCCTTCTTGTTTTGCCTTATTTTTAGGAGAAGTTTGGGAGTAGATGTGACATGGAGTAGTTTTTGAAGTATGGTATTCTAAAAGGAAGCCATTTAAACTCATATTATGCACTACATGGAATGAAAAGAAAGGTGGTCTTGCATGAACTTTGCAGAGTAGCTAGTTTTAGCAACCTAGATGCTTGTTTTGCTCTGTGCTGAAAGATGGAGAGAGTGTACTTAAATATTTTCATGATAATTTCTGCATTTTTTTTGCATAAATATCTGAATTAAAGATGATCTTGCATATGGTAGAAGGTGGTAGTCTTTGGGCTCTTCACTAATCACAATTCTTTTTAGATGGTACAGGCTGAGCCTCTGAGAAACCTACCTTTTTGTTTTCAGGCTGGGAAAGAACAACCAGTGTATAGCTCAGTTTCCACCTGTGAATGAAGGGGGGATATACCAAACTACTGCTGATATTCATTACTTTTGAACCCTAAGAAGGGAAACAATCCCATTCATTTGCTTGTGTGAAGGTTGACATAGTCCTGGCTGTGGATTGAGGTTTGTTGAAAACCAGTGTCAAATTATAGAAAACTGTATTTAACTTTCTTTTTTAGACTTTGTTGATCCATCTGAGGGTGACCAGGCAAATGCTCTGGGATTTCTATTTTTAACTGGTTCAAAAACCACTCTTCTTGCTTCAAAAACATCACGTAAGTGCTATTAGTATTAATGTAAAAGAGGCCTGATCATCTGTTAATATATGTACAAAGTGAGAATGTTGATCATATGAAGAAGGATAATCACTGTGTATGAATTACCACAGGAGTTTCACAGTGTTAACCAACCATTTCTTCTCTCTCTCTCAGGTATATAATTATGTTACTAGGGGAGGTACAAAATTTTATGACAAAACAAAAAGTCACACTCAAAATATAGTGGCAGTTTTCTGAAGAAAATGGCTTTTCTTCAAATTTTTAGCAATATTTTTATTCATAAATTAATACTGTTATTACAATAAGAAAAAACTTTCTCTTTTCCCAAAGGAATTTCAACACCTGTGTTTGGAATTAGTCACCTACTGAAATTTTTGAAAGGGATTAAAAAGCAGGTGTCTAACTTTTCACTGACTTTCGGTAATCTGTGACTTAAATTAGGCATCAAACCCTCCTTGCTTCTCTATATCTGAGTAAATGCCTGGCTGTTATCTTTAGATGCCTGTATACCTTTGTAAGTGTAGAATTATGGATTCAAGATCCTTCCTGTTATGTTTACAGAACACGCATGCAGTTATGCTGTTATCTGGTCCAGTGTCTCTTGTATAGAGTAGTTTGAGAATTAAGTAGTCATGTTTCAGCCACCTGTGCTCTTTGACAAAGATCGGTGCTCTGTATTTTGGAGAGTTTATGGTGTCTTGCTCTGTACGACTGCTCAACTTGCTGAACTCTTTCTTGGCATGTGCATTGGAACCAAATCAGTTCAATTGTGTTTAGCATTTTCCATGCCAGCAGAGCACAAAGTCTTCATTTAATACAGCAGACTACAAATTGAAAAGTTAGAACACCTATTGAGCATTGCAGAGAGCTCAGTTGGAACACTCTGTGAATGCTTTATGAAAACTGTTTTGAGTGAAAAATCACAATCTAGTTTGTTGATGTGAAATCCTTTTGATACAAAGATGATCTGCCTTACTGTTTTCAAAAATCCATTTTCCATGATGGGATATATAAATATCGGTGGTGTCAGCTGTAAACTATGAGATAATACCTTTTCTAATGTAATCAAATGTGTTAAAAACAGAAACCATCTGCAGAGTAACTGTCATTGTACCAAGAATCGCTTTACATTTCTAAGGTTCAAATTCATTTGTATTGTTTTTTGTATGCATAATTTGCATACTGGTTTATTGTTAGTTTGTTTTTAATATTTCTTTAAATAGTAGATCTGAAACAGTTTCAACTAACTAGACATGCAAGTTCCCAGACCTCATAGTTTCTAAAAACTAAAAAATTTAAAGGATTTATAAATAACTTTTTCTGGATTATAGTTTAAATCTTTGATTTGGATTTCATTTTGCATTCTGATGCTGTGTAAGGAAAAGTTTATGTCTATATAATGTATTTTAGTTTCTAGTGAGGCTATAACTTGTAATCTCACACCCACCCATCCCAATCCTCAATCTTTTCCCCTCAGGTTTGTTTATTCACTAGCTAGAGATGGTGTTTGCAGTCTTACAATAAACTTTCCCACACTGCTTTACTTGTGAAGTTCACTTTACAGAGGAGATTCAAAATATCTGTTTCTCCTAGTGTGACTACTCATTTATTGGCTCTGGGAATTCTAACTTCAGAAAATGAATGAGTAGTATGATGCCACCTTCTATGTTAACAGCCTGATCTCAGCATCCATATTATGCATTGGATTGCATTGGTTAGAGAAGTTCTTAGGGAGCATTTGCTTATTTGAAATGTTACTTAAGTAAAACTGATTAAAAAAAAATATATTTGTAAGAAGTCCGATACTCAAGCATAATTCAGGATATTTTCTGGAACAGAGACTATCCATAATAAAAATACATTGTTAATAGAATGTCATGATACTAAAATGATTGTACTTGAGTGAACAGATCTGCTATGGAATGTAGATGAAATGATGTATTATTTGTTAGGTCCTTATTCTGCTGTGTAAATTAACACTGATCTTATACTTTGTAAAACTGTTTATGCAACATTATCACTGTGGTAATGTTCTTCAAAAAGAAAATGGTATGTGTAGATAAATATTGACTAGAAGTAATGGTGTTTTAGAAAAGTAAAAAAAAAGTTGAGATCAGGCCTTATTTCTGGTTTTCAATGAAAGAAGTTTATTTTGGCCAATGGAAAAAGACCTCTTTTTCCATATCCCATATTAAATGGACCTTAAGTTCTGGATAGGAAGAGCTGCATGTAGAAATGAAACTCTCCAGGTTCAGTTGGGTTTCACTGCTGAAGCTGCAGGCAGGAACGACGTCTGTTTTCATGTTTGTTTTTAATTGTATTAGCTAATCCATTTTGAACAGTGTAGTAATTGAATATGTTACTTCAGCCTGTCAAGACTGCTGCAAAGAAGCCCAACCTGAAGTACATCTTGACAGAAAATACATATCAAAAAGTAGCTTGTCTCAGATAGGTTTAGATTTTAATGTTTTATTTGAGGGAAATTTTTTAAAACTGTCTTTTAGTCAAAGTGTAGAGAAGGCTTGACTGCTAACTGTGGATGGGTTTTTGCTGCTGATATGGACTTCCTAACTGAGAAGTGAACCGAACCTTCTAGACTTCCTTCGGATAACCTACTGGCAGAGCAACCATTCTTAATTTAGGTTGTACTCATTGGACAACCTGTTGTAGTGTTAGAAGACTTTGTAACCTATGTAACCTGTTTGTGCTCCTCAGTCTCCTGCTTTTCTGATTGATAATTTTCTGAAAATCTTTTGTAACTTTCTGGAATGGAACTTATTTAACAAAAAGCTAATTTGAGTTTGTTAACCATCATAAAAGCATGCGATGAACAGAAGCACAGTTATTTCTTTATCTTTTTTCACTGTATTTCTGTTTAAAATGTGTTTAGTAAAACTACAGATTCTCATTTTTTTACTGTTTCTAAATTTAATTTGTCTTTTTTGAAAGCTGGAAGATCATGTAAAACAAATAATTGCAGTATTCTCTACTCAGGCCACAATAAAATTAGATTGTGTTTGTATTGACCAACAAACAATGTATGGAAACAAAATATGCATTTTGGCGGAAATTAGTTTTGTCCATTTGAAACCATTAATGTATTAGATATGTCAGTTATAAATGGAATGACTGTTGATTTGGCCTGAAAACATCTGAGCTAATTTCCCTCAAGGAAGAATCACTTAGAGCAAAGTATGATGATACATCCAAGTAGGTCCAGCCATTACACTGTGAGTATTTAAAAAATGGATATTAGGTTGAATGTTATCTTTAGCAGATGGTGTTCTTTTCTTTAACAAGCATGTTTTTAAATAAAACTTGCTCTTTCCTGTTACACTGTAAACAGAATTTTTCATTCTGTATTCAGTGAAATACGTATCCTGGGAATGATGCCAGTGCTAATGTCAAACAATCTTGAATTACTTATGTTGAGAAAATTTTAAATAAGTGCATTCAAGTACTAAAGAATTCTGGTTAGTTTAATTTACTGCGGACCTTGTTAATATGGGCAAAAAAGAGAACTATTTTGTATCAAATCGTCATGGCTGCATTTCTATCTATCCTCTTTTATAAGGTATTGGTAGATACGTAATGAAAACAAATAAGGAACTGTTGGTTGTTGTATTTTGTCTGAAAAAAATAAGAAAAATAATTAAAGGGCCTCTATGATTTTCCATAATGTTTTCCTCTCAACATTTAGTTAATTCTGATTTCCTGGAACCTGAAGAGGGGATTATACAAATGTGGACTAGAAATAAAATCTCACTCCACTAGCCTGATACTTTGAAATTCATTTGCTGGGAGAGATAACACCAGCTAACAGGATTTGATTTCTTACTTCGGTTTATATTAACACTTTCATTCCTGCACTAAACCCTTTTTACAAAGCCATAGTGTGTAGATGGATAAGAATCACCTTCTACTAATATTAACTGTGTCTAGAGTGAAGCATAGCACTATCAAAGCTGAATATTGTTGCCTACGATTAGTTAGACTAATACTTTTCCTACTACAAGTTTTCCTAGGAAGTGGAGATGTAATAAAAATGGTATTGAGTGTATTATTTGAAGAACTCAATAACCGTTTCCAAAAGACATTAAAGGTGGTTTGTTACCACGAGATGTTACCATCTGGTTTGTTACCATCAGATGCTTAAGGTACTGTGCCTCAGTCACAGTTCAAAGTTAATTGAGCCTGATTCTGTCTCCAGCCCTGAGAAAAACTCACTAAAGTTGTTATGGCAGAGCATTGCAGACAGCCTGTTTTATGATTTCATATATTCATATATGTTCATATATTCATATACATGCATATATGATTTCATATAACTCTCCTGTTTCCTTATTGCGGTAGTTCTTCATAGCTTTTTTTTCTTCACAAATAGGTCCATACTCTTAAAAAAGAGTCTTGTGCCACAAAATTGCCTGTTAAAATTAGGATAAAAGGGATAGTGTTTAGGACCAACATCAACAAAATACAAGTATTTCTTTAACACAAGTGAACATGTATCTCTTAGGAAAATCTCATGTAGACTTAGGGTACAATTAGCACGTTCAACTTGTGTGTTATCTAAACTATATTGTGTAGTGAATGTATTGGCTTAAGTGTGTGTTTATTAGTCTTGTATCTGTTGTGCTCAAAGAACGATATAGGATCCAGAGCGACCAGTTGGAAGACCTTTGGCTGATAACGAAAGAGCTCACACGCCGACTAGAGGAACATTTCAAGAAGCAAAACTGCAAAGATTTTGCATGTACCTTTTCTGGTTCAATTCCCCTGCAAGAATATTTTGAACTAATTGATCGACATTTTGAGGTATGTTACATGATATGTGAATCCTTAATGTTCCGCTAGTTTAAAATTGTATGTTAGTACAATGATTAATCAGATTATAGCTATAGCTATCACAGGCATTTGGCTTTCAGAAAATAGAAGGTTATATCTAAGATAGTTCTGGAAAAAAAATGTCATTATTTTGTTTTTAAAGTACGGAGTATGCCTTGCCTCTGAAACAGCCCTTGCAATTAGCAGAGCACATGTAGCCAGTGTGCAGTCTGCAAATCATACAAATTAAGGAACCAGTATTTGCCCTTCTGTTCACTGCCTGTACAGAAGCCATGAATTCTTCATTCACTAACATCACGTTAATTGTAAAATTCTTTCAAAATTTGCCCTTAGTTTTAGGCTGTTTTGCTCTTCTGTAATAAGGAAACCATGACCACTTTTTTTTTCCCCCTGAGTCATCCTGGTAATTATGTGGAAAGTCCCTTCAGTGTCTAAAAAAACTGCCCTTGCAGATCAAACCCTGGAGACTCAAGAAAGTTTACCAAACCAGATATAAAAGAAATGTAATTACTTTTTCCTGTTTGACTATGCAGATGACAATGAAAAATCTCCAGTAGTTCAAATAGCTTGTAGAAATAGCTAATAGAATAGAATATATCCATTCTTTCCCTCCACACCTTTCCAGTAAAAAAAGGGAATAACTCTTTGAAGATTTCTATTAAACTTGTGTATTTGATAAAAGCAACATATATATGTAAGAATGAGAAATACTGTTGGATGTTTGTTCATACTGCCACATTTTCTGTTTGAGCCATCACCATACAGAAAGATGGAAGTTGTAGTTGGAATTTTCTGGGATTCTTTTTAAGGGGTCAACCTAGATCCTAGTCTTAAGCTCATGGCTAGTTGTTCAGCTAATTTGAAAGTCAAAATATTTGTGTTTTTTTAAGTGACTAGTAGAAATACTGTAAGCATAAGCTTGTGGTACAATCTAGTGAAGCCTAAATACATTGAAGTTTGAAACATAGGTGTTATTGCTGTAACGCTAATTTAGGATCTAGTTAGGTAGCAGCTGGCTATTTTGAAATTTCTGAAATTTTCCAATAATTATTTGGTCCCAAAAGATATAAATAGTCTATAAAGTGGGTCCTTATGCTCCCATCCCTCTTAGTTTCAACACACTCTTTTTTGACAAACCTGGGAGAATATTACCTGAGATGCCCCTTTTTTACTACTATTTCTAGAAAAGCTGAATAATGTTTCTTTTTCCCTTCGCTTCCCTGAACTGTTGTTCATAATCATGTGCTGACATAAAGATATGTTTCCTTATATTTAAATATAATCCGATTTCTTAATTTAGGAAATTTCTGCTCATTTTGGGGCATTTTTGCTCACATGTGGAAAGCTGAGTGTCTTGATGTTTCTTCTGCTAGTTATAGCATGTCAGCTGTACAGAGGTATCTCAGTTTTCTGAAAGACTCACCTTTAGTCAGTTTTATGTTAAAGGCATGTACTAGTAAGTGATGATTAATAGATAAAATAAGACTTTTTATCATCTGAGCATTTGATATACAATGTTCAAAGTTTTGTGAACACTTCGAGGAAGTTTATTGCTATAGCTGATCAGTATGCATAAAAAGGAAAAAAGGATTTCACTTCAGAAAAAGACAATCATTCATACAGTACAGAATCCAGTACTTCTCTTCATGCTTAAGGGAATAACCATTTGCTTTCTACTACAATGAATATCAAGTCCAATACACTGTGTGTATGTGTCATAAATAGCACACCAAACCAAGCCTTTAGGTCTCGGTGGTGAAATTTCAGTCTTGTTAATAGGCTTCTTGATGAGATATTTGTGTGTTTTCACATTTTATTCTGGCTGTTGACAATTAGTGTTGAATTCAGTAGGAAATGATAATTCTTGAAATGTTAAAAAGCTTTACGAGGAGTGTAAAATATGAAACTGGTATAAACAACAATCATATTTGTATAATACACTCTGTCACAAAAATTTTACTAAACTTCTCCCGTTTCATTTGCAATGTGCATACAATATATATGACCCTTCATCTGAATTCTTGAAAACCCTTAAATTGCAGCTACGTTTGAATGCTGAAAAATTTCAGGAGCTGTTATCTGAAAGGGCCGTACAGTTTCGAGCTATTGAGCGACGACTGCTGACACGATTCAAAGATAAAACTCCTGCTCCTCTTCAACATCTGGACACCTTGCTAGAAGGAACATTCAGAGAGGTCAGTACAGTTTGATTATGAGCCTAACCCTTCTTCATCTTGTTGCTAAAACCTAGCTTAAAGCATATAAGCTGTGCTTTCCTGGTTACATTTACCATCCAAGAGACCAGGAAGCAGTAATTTGTTTAACCTAATAGTCCCTGTAACTTTCCAGATGATTTGCAATAGTTTGATTTAATCTGCGACCACAAAATCTTTACTCCTGGGTCACACCAGCTTGACAGCACATCATTCTTTCCTAACTGATGTTGATAGTGTAAATATTTTATAGTTCATGTGAAAATATTTTATAGTTCATAGCTTGTGTAAATATTTTATGGTACACTGTAAACTGGCGGAATGGTTTGGCTGGTGTAACATTCACAACAAAATTGTCTGAGACTGACCATGTCCTTCCTATGGGGATTTTATGTTCTAATCATTTCAGAATGTGATAGCTGCAAAAGAACAGTGTTTAAAAAAACAAATCATTCCTGAACCATCCTCGTACTGGACAAAGAATAAACCAATTTTTCTTCCTTTTGCTGCCTCAGCTCTGCATTGCTTTAGAATAACACTTTTTCATTATGTGTTCCCTCTGTTAAGAAATTATTCTATGTGTTTTTTGCTTTTCTGTTGGAGGATCTGATTTTACTTTCTAACATGCTTTGTTTGAGAAGCTGAGTTACAATTAGATTCCTTGCTGAAAAAAAGTGTTGTGTATCACAACAACTAAACCCCAAAGCTGTTAAGGAAAAGTATTTGCCCTTACTGTTTCATCTAAGAAAACATTTCTTTAAATTGGAGAAAACTGCCTTTCCGTGTATGCTTATACATGAGTCAGATTTACCCTTATTTCAGTCTTTACTGTGAATGAGTTAACATAAGATGATTTAAGTTTAAAAGTGGGGATTTTCTGGTTGCTTTAAGAAATACTAGCTATTGTTGTGATAGATGGGTTATTATTTAACACTTTGAAATGGCGTGACTAAATAAGCCCAAAAGATTAATGTGAGTCTCTTGAGTCTGCTTTTGCTGTGTAGAACTTTTGCTTCTAAACTTAAAAGCAACTGGGATGTGCTTGAAAAATTTTCTTACGCAGTTGATTTGAAAGATGAATTCTGAGAATATGACAAAAATCAGGTTGTTGAAATAGATACATATTGCAGAAGCTTATAAGATCCTTCAAACCAGGATTAGATGGGTGCTTTTCTTAACATTACTGTTGTGAGCCTTTTGAATTGGAATTAGTGCAGTTGGAAGGAGAATGAGGAAAAATATTTGTTTTCAGAGAACAAATGCTTAAATTTTTTCACAATTGTTAAAACTTTATTTTAAACAAGCACACATTTTTCTTGGTAGATTTCCTTTGTAATTTCTTTTGTTCATGGGTATTCTCTTCCAATAAAGAAATGTTGTTATTGTTAGTACAAAAAAAATGTAGTAAAATGGTCATTGCCATAGAGACCCCACTGCTGCATATGTTGTTTCAAAAGTGAGAGCTGTGGTAGGATTTAATATTGACTCTGCTGTGGGGGTGAAATAAAACAGCTCAATGACGCATTTTCTATATTAGAAAAGACCTTGTTTTCTTTAATTCAGTATCAAATTCTGTCTTTATTTGAACAAGTATGTCTAATACAAATAGTTGAGGTATTCAAAATATGGCAAATGAGTTTTCTGAAAAGGAATAATGAGGCTGATTAAATATGAACAGTATGAAGTCTCACTCCAAAAATTCATCTAAGCATGTAGGCTTTTTGACATTGAAGTAAATACAATTTTTATTCTCATATAATTGTCTGAGAATCTCATCTCCTCCCTTATATAAAATATTTTTATAATGAGAAAATTTGCCTTGTTTTATCCCCTTATTTTAAGCTAAAGTAATTGTTAGGTAGAAAGCAAGGTTTTGTTGCTTTTTACATTGGGTTTTGTAGGCAGAAGGGAAATGTGTATGTTTTGGTTTTATAGTGCATTCCAAACCTTTTCATCTAGAACAGAAAGGAGTTTCCAGTTAATTTGAATATGTGATTTTATTAGCCTTTTTAACACAGAATCTCCAGGACTTGGGCACTGCATGAATTACATTCTTCATAGGATAACTATTATAGCCTAGGATATATAAAGGTGCCTCTTATTGCTTCCTGTATTTCCTTTTATCAGAACAGTTATGGAGCCGATGTATGACCTTTGTATGAACAACCTTTTAAATACAAATCAAATAATGAATATACAACTCATGTGATTTCATTGCCTAGGTGTGATAAATACCTACTGTAAATTTATTCTGTATGGTTTCTCTGCCCGTCTGTAAATTGTTATGAATTACTGAACTGATTTGAATTTTACTACTAAAGTAGATGGTAAATGTTAATTTTCAGATTTTCAACTTCAAGTAACAGTTGTGTTTGTATGATGTGTAGGTAGATGTACAATGCATGTCAAAATTATGGTTGCTAAACAGGAAAAAATTAATCACACTGCATTTGATTCTCCGGTCAAAAGCATTTCTATTTATGAACTAGTTTTTTGCATTAATCCTTGTACACTAGCAACAAGGCAGGCTGTGTTTAGTGCTACGATAAAATTACTGATGGGTTTACTGTAAGGAAACTTTAGCCTTACTTTTCAACTTGAAAATAATGAAGAAATGTATAAGCAGGCGTTGGTTTGTGCAGTGACAAAAAGCTTGCTTTTGGTTTTATTGCCCTGTTTTATATTTTCTTTTAGAATTTGTCTTTCTTAAGTAATAATATAGAGCTAAATGGATTGGAGCGAGTAGTAACAACAGTTAACAAATAGTGACATCAGGTGTTCCATTCTGGAAGGAAAAGAAAAGCTGTTATATACTTGGTCTTGTATGTTAGAAAAAGGAAATGTTATTCTTATGATCTTTAAGAATGATTTGTAGGAAGATGCTATGAAGAAAAATGGAAAAATCAATTTGCAATATATGCAAATTCTCGATCTCTGATTAAGAAATTTAGCAGTGCAGTTGGACATGCTGCTACCACTTGTTCTAAGAAAGGATTTTAATTAGATAAATTTAAAAGCAATTGAATGGTAGTTGAGATTGCATATATTTTTTGTAATTTAAAGGACTTCAAATATGGAATGAGATTGCAGCAAATTTTATGGTAGCTGTTGTAAACAGCATGTACTTTGTATAATGCTCCCCTACTACAGACATGTTATTGCTTGAAAGTGTAGTTTAATGGTCTTTTATGTCTACAATGTGTTTTCTGTCATATTAGAAAAAAAAATCATAGTTTGGCAGTAGCTACAGGTTCTTGCCCTGAAATCGTAATTTTCATGCATTGACTCTTGGCAAACATTACTTAGATTTCCAGGTACAAGCTGGAATTAATAAATGTCATAAAAATGAGATGCTTCAATTTCTTATGTTAGCCCACATGGATTTTATCGTAATGAATATAAGCAATACTAGCTATGTCTAGTTATGTTTAACCCTGTAACCACGTTTAAAAGCCTACTGCAGTTACATTCCTTTAGGGGAAGAGGAGGAAGGATGAATTTGAACTCTGGGATGGAGTTCTCCTAAGGCACTAGCTGTTCTTTAACCAATTTTAAGTACTTAAGACATGAATCTGAGACAAGATTGAACAGTTCAAGTTTACAAAAAAGAATGTAATGACAAAGCAATCACTTCTACCTTGCATTGCTTCATAATTTTTCTTCCTTATTCTACTTTTTATTGTAATACAAAACAATTTGTTCTGTATCCCCACACTTCCATCACATGTAGTAAACATAGTTCCTTTCCTATTCTTTGATACCATTATTGCATGGTATCTCAGGTTTCCCCATGTTCTATGCTTTCTAATAGTGACATCTCAACTTGTGCCCTTGGCCCCAGCACCCCTCTGACAGTTGCTTATTTGTGCACTGTCAAGTCAGTGAATTAGTGCTGACTGGCAGCAGCCATCTAGCCAGACAAGATGGATGATGTCTTCTGTCTCAGTAGAAATACTAATAGTGTCTCTCCCCTCTCTGTCTGCTAATTAAAAAAAAAAAAAGTGAAAGTGAATGATTTCTAGCTCTTCATGTTACTGTAAAATTTTGTATGGAAGTGACAGTTACTAGGAATTTACTGACAAAACAAGTTTGACATAAATGGTCAGCAGAGTTGCATAACCTCAGCCATCTAGACTTAAGAACTACATGTTTTACAACAGGTCTTTATTTTTGATTAGTGAGAGATTTTATCTTTTCTTTCCGTATAACATGTTATCTATTTGAGACCATCTTCTGTTACTGAGAGGGCCCAACACACTTTTAAACCAGAACTTCTAGAACTAATTGATGCTGAGAGTTTATTCCCTTTATTTTCTCCTAATTCAGCTATTCAGTCACATTCATCTTATTTATATTATTATCGAATAACCTGTCTCTCAGAAATACTTGGCTGTAAGCAGCAGTAAAATGGCTTTCAATGTGATTTCTACATCTTGCTCAGTAAACAACTAGAAGTTGTCCCGATCATTCTGCTGTCTTTAGTATATGTTTTTTATTTATCTTGGCTTTTCTTGGCCTTGCATCTTGTGAGTTCTGAATTTTTCTTTTAAAATCTCTTCTTGAAACAAGGGAAAAAGTATTTGAGTAGTCTTTCAGATTTCAAGAGGTGCTCGTAGGTTGCTCTTTACAGGTAGTAGAAAATAACATAATTCCTACAGGTCTTTTTTTTTTTTTGTTTTCTGTATAACTTCCCTCATCCGTTTTCCCTTCTGGAAAGTAAGTGTAGCATTTCACCATCAGTCTGTTAGAAGTGGTCAACAAACAAAATTGCTTCCAGGTAGAGATACCATGACTCCTCATTTAGAATAAAGAAGGCGCACCAGGAGGATCCATTTTAATTCTTTACATGGCAGTAAACTGTAGAAATTTGTTGCCTGTGGTTGAGAAAGCTGTGACTTTCACATGTAAGGGTAGCTGTTTTCCTTGAGGTCTATGATGTGAGCTGCCCCTTGTGTATACAGCCCTGGATGTTTGTTGGGGAT